AACCGTTCAAAACCCGATTCTACCGATTAAATCCATTTCTACCATAGAATGGAAAAAGATGGAGAAAAACATCCAAACAATCCAAACAATCCATACATAATCATACACATTGATAAGATAATGATATTTCACACCCTTACCTTGATTAAATCGAAGCTAGAAGTTATTCTTGAGCTTTCCAAGCTTTTCCTTCTTTTCCTTCTCTTTTCTCCTCTTTCTCTTTCTTTCTCTTCTCTTTCTCTTATGTTTCTATTCTTTCCTTTTCCTTCCACTTTTCCTTATATGCCTTTCTATTCTATTTCCTTCCATCATATTTCTCCTCTCAAATATCTACCAATAATTTCAATAATTAAAATCATCTAAATAAATCAATTAATTAATATAAATAATTAATTATTGAAAAATTGGGCTGTTACATGATGTCCCTGCATTACCAACCGTCGAAGTGACTACTGGTTCTGGGTCTAGAGCATCATTTCGGGCACTAGAAGCATTTTTTGGATTAACCATTTTTGCTAAAATCCTACCACTTCTCAGATGCATGTAACTTCGGACATTGAAAATATTTTATGTAAAATAGAAATATCTAAATAATACAGTAACTTCTCGTAAAAGAAAATAATTTTTTTCATAAAAGGTGTCACCGGGTGTGCCAATTTGTTTGCAGGTGTTTTAGAGAATAATCATAAGTTTAATTAGTCTGTGAGATTAACTCAAAAAATCTCGGAAGCAATTCGTGCAAAACACGTGTACAATAAAGTATGTGTGTGAAGTGACTGTGAATGTTTGTACACAGACAAAGTGAAAACAAAATTTAATGATGCAAATGTTTGAATTAAAGTAAATGGAAACTGCAATAAATGTCATTAAACAAAAAGCAGTAAATGAGAAGAAATAGAAATTTGTTTCAATTAAGGAAACATAAAGACAATAAAGAATTTACGCAACCATGATTACAATGTATGAACCCACTAGTGAGTTTTATACTATTGGCACTCATATGTATGAGAACTAGGGCTGGCAATGAACCAAACCAACTCGAAGATAGTTCGGAATTCGACTCGACAATTAAATCGTTGAACTAGGTTCATGAACCAAATGAGTTGAGTATGAGCGAAAAATTAAGTTCGTTAATTAAATGAGCTGAACTTGAACTATACATAGTTCGACTCGTTAGGTTCATGAGTTAACTCGATTACATATGAAAAGAATTATACTGTCTTTAAGATTAGGTTTAAATATTTACTTCAAATCTTAGACAAATTTAATCTTCAATTTAGTAGTTTTTGAATTAGACTCTCAAATGTATCTCTTGAAAGTTGTGTAGGTTTTGAATTAGTAGATTTCGAAGTTAAAGTTAAATTTCAATATGATAAATTTTATTTTATTTTAATATTTTATTTAAAATATATATATTTATTTAAAATGTCAAATATACTAAAAAATATATATATTTAAAAAAATAGTTTTTAAGTTCGTGAACCATGTGAGCTGAACCTAATGAGATGAACCTAACGAGTCGAACCGAACTGTTCGTGAACTTATAACGAGTCGAGTTTGAGCTTAAAAAAAAGTTCGTGTCTAACTCGAACTCGAACTCGAATTCGAACAATTCTTAACGAGTCGAGCCGAGCTGAGGTGAGTTCGACTCGACTCGACTCATTTCCAGCCTTAATGAGAACCTACCAATGAGTTTTCCATGGATCGTTCCAAGTATTTTATGACTTTTACAGATGATTTTTATTGAAAGGTTTGAGTGTATTTCTTGAAAAAAATATATATAAATTCTTTACCAAATTTAAGTTGTGGAAGGCAGAGAGGTGGAGAATCAAACAGGCAGAAAAATCAAGTATTTGCGGTCAGATAATGAAAAAAAGTACACTAATTCAAACTTCAAGAAGTTATGTGAAGAACGTGATACTCAAAAACATTTACCAGTTTGTAAGACACCGTAACAAAAAGTGTATGACAGAGAGAATGAATAGGTACCTAACTCAAAGGGAAAGACTTATATTGTTGAATGTTGCACTATCAAAAGGCTTTTGGGGATAAATAGTTAGCATGGTGTGTTATCTTATCAACAGGTCACCATTGTTTTCATTGGGGGATAAGATTGCATTGGAGATATTGACATGTTATCCTATTCATCTTTACAACTTAAGAATGTTAGGGTGTCCAGCTTATGTGAATATGTTTAGTGAAGATCAATCAAAAGTTAAAGAAGTGTGTCTTCGTCGGTTAAGTAAAAGTTATAAAAGGATTCAAGTTATGGGATCCGATTTTAAAAAAGAGAGTAATTAGAAAATATGTTAACTTTTATGAGCAATTAATGTTGAATAAATCAGTTACAACAGATGTGTCACCATATGAAGAAGAAATTTCTAACAAACCTGTGATTCAAGTGGATGTTGATTTGCCATTGGTGAGCAATATTTTAGTAATGCATGAACCACAAGACGAACTTGTCGCTGATACTAAAATTAACTACGAACCTGATGTTTCAGGTGGAGTTCATGATTACTTTATTGTATCTGACAGACATAATCGTTCAACCAAGCCACAAGAAAGATATGGGTATGAAGACTTGGCAGCCTATGCACTTCTTACTAATTTTGTAGATCATTCCACCTTTTGAGAGGCTATAGACAGCTAATAGAAACATAAATTGATGGATGAGACGGTGGAGGAGAAGGAATCCTTAAAGAAAAATTAGACATGGGAGGTTGCTCAACTTCTTAAAGGAAAAATGATTATTGATTGTAAGTGGGTGTTCAAGAGAAAATCAATAATAACGAGAGAGAAAAAAAAGGAAAAGGTTCAAGACTCGTCTTGTGCCAAAGGGGTACTCATAGTATAAGGGAATTGATTATGATGATATTATTTTTTCTCCGCTTGTTAGACATATTTCTATCAGGATCGTGTTAGCCTTGGTAGTCAGCCAAAACATGCATTTAGAGCAGATGAATGTGAAGACAACATTTCTTCACAGTAATTTAGATGAGCAAATATATATGGAGAAGACAGGGGGTTCAGTGACACTAAACATGGCAGACTATTTTGTAAATTGAGAATGTCTTTGTATGGTTTTAATTAATCTCTAAGAAAATGGTAAAAGTGTTATGATTCATACATGCTTAAAATTGAATACACAAGGTATGGGCATGAATGTTGTGTTTACGTTAGGAGCTTTGATGATGACTCTTTTATTATCATATTATTGTATGTTGATGATATGTTGATTTATGTTAATCATACATATGTAAATGAACTAAAAATCATGTTGGAAAAAGAGTTTGACATGAAAGACTTAGGTGTTACTAAAGATTCTTAGTATGGAAATTCACAAGGATATAAGTCGTAAAAATTGACTCTGTCAGAAAAGCTATGTTGAAAAGGTTTTAGATAAGTTTGATGTGAGTAATTTAAAGGTTGTGAGTACTCAATTGGTGAATCATTTAAGTTCTTATTGGATCAGTGTCAAAAGACAGATGCAAAAGATGCGTATATGTTAAAGGTTCTTTATGTCAGTGTTGTTGATTGTTTAATGTATGATATGGTCTGCACTGTACAAAATTTGGCACAAGTTGTAAGTTAAGTTTGTAAGTTTTTGTCCAAACTGGAAAAACGTTATTGGGAAACAGTCAAGTGATTTTTTTTCAGGTACTTGAAGGGTACAACAGGACATGATATCATGCTTAGTAGTGAACAAGGTGATCCTTTGGTTGTAGTATGTTGTATTATGACTATGATGGTGATATGACATCTCGAACATGGTGTGTTTTTACATTAGCAAGAGAACAAGCCTATTTGTTGGAAATCATCGGTTTAATCCATAGTGGTCATGTTGACAATTGAAACTGAATACAAGGTGGCAAGTGAAGTTGTTAAAGAAGCTTTATGACTTACAAGATCGGTGAGAGAATTTGGTGTTGAGCAAAGTGGAGCTCGGTTGCATTGTGATAGTTAGAATGCCATTTATTTTACAAGCAATCAGGTGTAACATGTCATGACCAAGCATATCGATCTAAGGTTTCACACGATCAGAGAGTTACTTACATCTTGACAGATATTACCTTAAAAAATTCATACTTCGGATAATGCACTTGATATGTTGGCCAAGCAAGTCATCAGTGACATTGCTTGAACTTATTACATGTTTCTTAGTATTAAGCCTAAGGTGTATCTTCTGAATTGGCAGAATGTGATCGTCTTGCTGAAAATCTTCATAAGAGTTTGATATTCGTCAAGGTGGAGATTGTTGAATATGGTGCATATTGTGGAGAATATTATGGATATTGTTGATTATGACCCGTCCTGTAGAGATTATTATAGGTATTGTTGAGTATGACTCATATTGTGCAAATTATTATTAGTATATAACCGAGGATATGGGGGCTTCAAAAGTGTTATTATAAATTAAGCCTAGTATTATTGTATATTTTGATTGTAACACCATAACCCTAATTCATTAGAGAGAAATAAATAGAATTATAATTGTTGTATAACATTATTGATAAAAGTGCATTAACAAAGATTAATGAATACATATTACTTTCATTTCTCATTAATATTCTATATTATTTGTGTTCTAACACGCAGCAATACTCAAGAGTTGTGTAGGATTCGTACACATCATCTTCTCACAATACAAATACAAGAGTGTTGTTTCTTTGACTGAATAAACAAAGAAGTTGTGATAATACATAAATATGTTTGGGATTTAAATATATCACGTGCACATTTCTAGTATTAGTTTTTCAAAATCAACAAATTCATCCTCTCACCAAATACACTTAATATACTATGTTTTAGAAAGCATACTATGATGACACGGAACATTTATTTATTTACAAAAACTAAAAGTTCTCAAAGCATACAAAAAGGTAAAGGAAAGTACTGCTGGATTCTACCGGCAACAAGAGGTATTTCACATAGCATTTACAAGTTTACAAAGATGCTTGGCTATGAAACCTCATGTTAAGTAACATACTCTACATGATTTAGGAGCTTTCACAAGTCTCCAAGGTCACACTTTGGCAGCGCCTCTTCCTCTCGCTCACCTGAAAAGAAGAAAAAAGTCGATCGTTTAAGATATGAACACCAGACACAATACCGACACAGACACGTTAATAACTCAAGAAAATAGAAGTAACTGAATGTAATCATGTTTTGATGTCAAATATCAAAACCACCTTCAATCTAAAGTTTGTGTTGGTACTACATAAGATCATTAAGCAAAAAAGTCTTGCAAGCGATTATATGTCAGTTGATAAACTCAAACAAATCGATCCAAACAGGCCCTTAATAGCATTGCGCTTAGACAAAGAGAAATATGTGAAAGAGTTATAGATAAATTTAACGGCCGACAGAAAACAAGTTTTGAAGTTATACCTGAGTCCATGAAGGTGGTAAGGATGCGCCGCGCGCAGGCTTAGGGGGCAAGGATGCGTCACGTGCAGGCTTCCTTAATTGTTTAATCTGTTGAAGACGGGCTGCTATCTCATCCAAAAGCTTCAACTGACCTTTTTCGTTTTCGCCTTTGTCTGCAAACAAAGTCAATTTCTCTTTTTCATGCTTCACTGTCCTCAACCTTTCTCCAAGAACTTCAATCTCATTGTCAATCCTCAACTTTTCATTATGAACCAAATACGGAGAATCACTTTCAGTGTCGAAAGACATAGATTTGTATTTTGAGTCAGCATCTGAACAACTTGCGCATTCAAGACGTGTATTCATCGGTTTGTCTGAGAGAGTAGTACTACATGAAGAGCTGCTTAAATTTTCAGTTTTCTTTTCCTTATGTTCAATGTTGTCATCAATAACATGGACATCAAGAACATCAGACTCGGTATCATCGAAAGAGCTATTCAGATCATCACACGCTTGATTCTTGTGTCTAGTGTTTTTCTCAAGCTCTTCTCCATGTTCTGTATTCGTAAAATCTTTCTTAACATTTGACACGATGCTTTCTTTCTGCGGTGGATCATCATATATTTCAAACGAAAGTGGTGACCGTTGTTTCCATTCATTAAGCCGTACATCCGCCGACTTAGACTTCGACTCACAATTTCCTGTCAAACACATTTGCCTATAACTTTCGAGTTCCTTTTCCAGAAAGAGATTCTCCTTTTCCCTTCTTATAAGAATCTCTTGCATAATACTCATCTCTTCTTCATCATAAGCAACTCTTTCTTCAATCAACCTATCGTATTGTCTCATTTCCATTTCCATCAAAGCTTTCTCCTCTTGCAGACGCAATATCATAGCCATGGCTTCATCAGCAGCAGTAGCAGCCGCAGCTCTCTCCTTCTCTAGCTCTAGATAAAGAGCCGCGTAAGCCCCTTTCTCTTCTTCAATCGCGTTTTCATACATCTTGATTCGGCTGTCTTCATTTCCAACAATATGAACATTAGCTCGTGCAGTAGGACTTTCAATTATTGATGCATTGAATTCATAACTGTGACATGTTTTTTCATCCAATTCATGGCTCGACCGGTCATCGTGATTGTCTAAATAACACGATGGAAAAACTATAAGCTAATATCCAGTAAGCATATAATAAAAATCATCAAAATCATCGAAAGAATGAACGATAACTATGTTGAAGATTTATCACTTACATTGCAAACTACCTTCTTTCCCTGACGCAGAATTCGAGCTCTGACTGGATTTATCTTTAACCATACAGCTGCTTCCATCATAAGTCGCGGAAGTGAATGTAACATCAGACTGGAAGCTATGACGACGAATAACCGAATCGATTTTTCCACAATCATAACCACTCCTCTTCCTACGCCGAAACCCTGACCTACGTTTCAAACTCAAAACCCCCTTTCCTTTAACATCATACCCAATTTCCCGCAAACGCGGACTCGAACTCAAACTCTCATCTTCCAATTCAACAATCCTATTATCATTATTACCACATGTTTTCTCATCAACATTAACAACCATTTTGTTCTCATTGATATTGTTCAAAGAATGATCTTTCTTCACCCAAACCAAATCAAATGGAAACCTCTTCAACGCCATTACTTGAATGGAGCATATCTTCCTTAAAGGCCATTCAAACAATAACATATGAAAACAAAGATAGCTATTCCTATAACCTAAAATCCCTTTGCAAGGACAAGGAAGATAAAATCCAAAAACCCTAAGAAAGTTGGAAAGAAAGAAAGCAAAAGTGGATCCACATAGTAACACATAAGCTACAAAAAGGTCAATAAAGGATCCAATTATTCCTCCTAAACTCCATGAATCAGTTTCCTCTAAAGCCATTTTCACAAGCTCGACATGCATACTAGTCTAAACTCTCAACAATGAATTAAAGAGAAAGAACAAAAAAAACACACAACACAAGACCCAACAAGAAAAAACTAATCTTTTTAGTTCCAAACACATTAATATCACAAAATCATGAGTAACAAAAAGGAAAAATCAAAGATTTAGATCAAAGTGAGTAATAAAACAAGTTGAAGAAGAAAAAGAAAATACAACAAAAAGTGAATACCATGGTTTGTTGAAGGAAAGGGGTGAGATGAAAACAACACCCCAGAAAGAAAGATATTAACAAGACACGAAGATGAACAGTGATGATGGTGGAAATGAAATGATTGCGTGTATAGACGAATATTCAGATTCACATGATGACATGTGTTACTATAGCTATATCCCTCTCATCATAACACACTCAGCATATATATATATATATATATATATATATATATATATATATATATATATATATATATATATATATATATATATATATATATATATATATATATATATATATATATATATATATATATATATATATATATATATATATATATATATATATATATATATATATATATATATATATATATATATATATATATATATATATATATATATATATATATATATATATATATATATATATATATATATATATATATATATATATATATATATATATATATATATATATATATATATATATATATATATATATATATATATATATATATATATATATATATATATATATATATATATATATATATATATATATATATATATATATATATATATATATATATATATATATATATATATATATATATATATATATATATATATATATATATATATATATATATATATATATATATATATATATATATATATATATATATATATATATATATATATATATATATATATATATATATATATATATATATATATATATATATATATATATATATATATATATATATATATATATAATTGCCACATCTAGGAACAAATTAAAAATAAACAAGTTACAACATAATCTAACATAATATCTAAAATGTCACATGATCACAATTTAGCAAACATGACTTTGAAGTAAATATTGAAAATATAAATTTAATTAACTTTTTTATATGCAAATTAAAAAAATGCAAAGGACAAGTGAATTTTGAATCAATTGCGAATAAATTAGTAACAAAGTCGGTTAAATTAAACTTTGACTTTTCTGACTTTCATTCCAAAACATATTGATGAATGATAATGATACAAATGACTTGTGAACAGAGAATTAATCGTAAAAAATCAACTCTTGGATTATTCATTCATTTGTATCTCTTAATGATATAATGAAATGAATGATGGAATGTATGATAAAATGGAATGTTCGTGTCATGCATAGGCCAGTTGAAGTTGGAAAAAAATTAGGATGAATTTTAGAGTATGATAAATGCTCCTATTTAACTATCTTGAACCAGAGCATGTGAAGAATGACATTTTTCATATGATCATGGTGGAAGGTAGTTAAATATATAGAAGACCCTGAATTTTGCCACGTGAAAGAAATGGAATGCAACGTGATGCAATGAGACTAGATGCATTTCTTTTGAGAACTTATTTGCTGGGGATTGATTGGAACGTTTTTGTTAGGGAAATAAGGTCAGTCGCAAGAGAAATTTTTTATATGCATGATATACAAAGTCATGTGAACTATGCAGCTAAGTGGGTCAGAGGTAAACTCTAATTGAATTGAATTGAGGGTCTCATAAGTTAGATAAAAAAGTTTCAGGATGCTCCTGCACCTTAAAGTTTCAATTGAATCCTTTCTGATAGAGATGTCAAATTGTTGGACAAAAATCATTAACACAAAGGTTAGAAACAAAGCATCAACCATAGAGGTTGGAAAAAGGCCATCAATCGTGAGGGATAAAAGAAGATCATCAACCATGAAGGTCGGAAAAAAGGTACAACCTTGAAGGTTGAAATAGGGCTCATCAACCATAGAGGTTGAAAAAAAGGTCATCAACCATGCCGGTTGGGAAAAGATCAACAACCATAGAGGTTGGGAAAAAGGGTCTTCAACCACGAAGGTTGGGAAAAGGTCACCAACCATGGAGCTTGGAAAAAAAGGATAAGGGACACCGAACAAGTCGGGATTTAAAAGATACAAAGCAAGTTGGGATTTTAAAAGACGCCAAGCAGGTTGTGCCTTAAAAGATGCCAAGCAGATTGAGCTTTCGGGGGTTTACCAAACAAGAATGGCCTTTAAAAGACACCCAACAAGTTGGGATTTTAGATTTGCTAGTAATATTGGGCTTTGGTTTTCCAAGTTTGTTCCACTAGGCTTCATGCTACGCTAAATGAATGACATGTATGAGTGAAACGACGTGATTAATGCATAGTGACGATTTATGTAATGGCTGACCAAATGCTCGTGTGGCGGATGGTGAGAGATTTAGGGCTAGGATATGGGTCATAAAGACATGATCCTCTGACACCTACTTCAAGATTAAAAGTTCTTGACACACCTTTGCGCTTGATTTGAAACTTGGAGAGAGCTTGTGCCTGCATAGCCTAACTCTGCCATAGTCTGTTGGGTATCTGCATGAGTTGCCCCGGTTACAGGTCGCGAAGCGGTCTTGTCATTCGAAGATCTCAAACTGACATGCCCCAATGTCTTAAAATTGCATGCCTCTGATTAACCAATCCCGATAATGTTTGACTTCTCATGCTCTTGAGGCGACATTCCCTAATACGAGTCTCGAAGTGACTTTGTCCAGAATGGTTGATCATGGTGAGATTTTTCAAATCTCAACGTGATTACCCCAGATTGACTAAATCTTATAGCGGATTGCTCTTTTGCTCAACAGAGGTCTTCAGGCATTTTCCCCCAAGTGTGGTCATTCTTCCCATTGTGGAAACTTTCTCGATGTCAAGTGCTTGTTTGCAAGTAAAAGTGTTTATTTTGAAAATGATAATGCTAATGTTATACTTATGTCAGTTTCGTAATCCAAGCTCGTTCACTAAAATGATGACATATAGTGAATGTATCACCACTTAGAATGTCATACCAATACCAACATAAATGTTAAGCAAATATTTAGGAGTCAACTTTGACATGATCCTAATGTAGTATGCTTTCAAAATAAACCCTACTTCAATTAGGTCTTTTGAGGGTTGTAGCGTGACCTGGTTCACGATTTCAGGAAGAAAAAAAGAAAGGATTTATGGCTCAAAATTTATCTTAACCCACTCATTCTCCTTGATGTTCTCCAATCCTACATTCAAATAGCTTGACACAAGCGTTCACCTTTCAAAAAGGGTTTTGAATGATAGAAGCGATGGTTAAGGAACCAACAAGGCTTTCGAAGTGGGAGTCAGTCACCTTTTGCTTTTGTTTGTAACTGCACAAATTTGTTCTTGCTAAGGATTTTTCCTTTTGATTCTTTTGTTTTTGTTTTTTCTTTCACTAATTTTTGTGTAGACTAATTTTTAAGTTTGCAGTCTACCGGGATGCCCTAATTTTTGCTTAAGTCATTTGTTTTTGAGTTTTTGACTTAGCAAGCTTTTCTTTCTTTTTTGTTTTTGATTTTGAATTTTTCTTCTTTTTTTTAACAAATCATGTGACATTAGTTTATTTTGAAAGAGTTGTGACTGCCTTACTCCCTTGGTCGGTGAGGTACAACTATTGTGGATTTGTGATTTTCGATCTTCTGTGAGGGATAAGGTGGGGTTGATCCTCAGATGAGGTACTCCTCTTTTGAAAATTGAACGCACAGTTAAACTAACTGAAAAGTGAAGATTATCCTGCCTCAGGCTAAGATTGAGGGCTTTTGTATATAGAAAGAAACTCATACTCCTTGGCTCAAAAGGGTTGACTAGGGGTTATTTTCCTTATATCTCCGGTGTTTGGGGATTTGAAGCAATGCCTTACATCATCAGCAAGGCTTTATTCAAAAGCATACAACCATTAGTTTCGTGTATTTTTGATTTCATCATTCTCTTTTTGATTTTGCTTAAACAAGAGTTTGATATTGATCAATAAAATATGAGTGAACACGAATGGATTTATTCAAAACATGCATACTCACTTCATTATTATTATTATTATTATCAGTTGAAAAAAAACAAGTTTTACAAGAAAACGGTGCTTGAAAAAAAAAGTAAAGATTACTAATGACAATGAATGAACAGTCTGATAATAAAGTGATTGTCAGTGTTAAGGAGGCGTTCTCAAACTTCATCAATTGTTTCAAGGGACGCTTCTGCAGTCTTGGCGCTTACTCAAGCAAGGGAAACCTGGAAGGCTCGATCTCTTTGGGCATAACTTCCCTATTATGAATTAGAAAAAGGAAGTATATGCGTATAAGAGATTGGAATTTGATCAAAGCAGGGACGTCTTCTTTCTTGATCGTTGCTCCCTTGGCTTCTTGCCTTTGCTTCTGTTTCTGGTTGCCTTTAGTGGACTTCTGATTAGGTAGGGGTTAAATTGGTAGATTTGCTACAGTTGCATTCTGGATTTCACCCACCCTTTGTATGTTCTCTATTCGTTCACCAATCACAACCTGACCTGAGAAGTCTATTCTCATACTGTCTAAGAATAGTTCCAAGATCATGTCGACTTTACCTTGGGTGTGATCCAAGCTTTCCTTGCACATCGTATTCTTATGCTCAACCTGTTCCATGATTCTTTGGCTATCAGCGTCGAGGAATCGTTGTCTTCTGGCTAATGAAGGGAAGAGAGTGACCATTGTATGGTTTATATGCATTCAATGCAAATGTATGTATGCATATGTTTTTTATGTGGGTGTAATGCAAATAGATATGCAACATCCATTGATTCAAAGGTCTTGATGATGCAATAGTTTAAGTTCAAAAGTCTGATATACATACGATGATGCAATAAATCAAGTTCAAAAGTTCGGCACACATATGATGATGCAATAATAGTATGCAATAATGTATGTTAGAGGTTCAACAGATTTTAGATATTCTGCATATACTGCTTGATGCAGGTT